TTAGTTCATGCGATACCATATTGCTGCAACAGGAAAGGTTTCGGCGGCACACTTGAAAAGGTGAGTGCTTGTTTCGGTTTCAGTTTATTATGCAAAGGTAGTCTGATCTAGACGAGTTTTGACACAGGTCTCAAAATAGGGTTTTGTGTTTTTTGTCACACTTCATGCGATTTTCAGAAAGAAATGGATTGGAGGATTAGTATGTTGTAGCAAATATTGTTACACAGACTTGTTTCACTTTTGGGTTCGTAGATGCTGGAAAAACCAGAAACCAATCCGATTCTTGTAGTCTGGTTCCTGACCCCACTTAAGATCAAACGGAGCAACTTATAGACGTTGGGGAATTGTAAGATCAGAGATCAGTCTAGCAGGCTTGTACCATTTCACAGTGTGTAATCAATTGCAAAGAAAATGCAGACAAATTAATATGAAAAGTAGGAGCACTTTTTGAAAAAAAAAAAAGTTTTCTCCCATGTTGGTCAGTTTTTCTTGAAAATGTCAGCACACAGGAGCCACAATTTACAGGATGCTTTAGACTGTCATTCCTTAACAATCCAGTAACATATTTCTTGATTATTTGATCATTTAGGTTTTTTTATGGTTTGCAAATATTGTATCTTATAATGTTTGCTTCTAAAAATGTGAACTTGTTTCCTCTTTTTTTGGAGGGGGGGGGGGCCTTGGTTTTTGTTTTTTCTGTGGGTCATTCAAAGAATGTATGTTCCATTTTTCCATCCCTGTTACATCTAACATAGATATTTTGTAATCTGGATCCCCCCCCTTTATTTTATTCTGTGCGGTGGAGCGCCGTGGCCTTGTGGTCTGGAGCATTGAATTTGTGGTCTGCGGGTAATTCTGCAGGTGTGGGTTCGGTGTTTGTGTTCAAAATTCCATGACTGTAAAAGTACATTCACATGAGCGATTCGACTGATTCTTTCACTAAGGCAAAAAAAAAAAGTCTCCGGTTTCTGGTATGCGCGCGCGTCGCCGTAGCCATGTGCGTCGGCAAAATGAAAAAGTTTTTTTCAATGAAAGATGATGTCTCAAAACCGCCAAACTCACTGGTTTGACTGGAATCCTGCTGCTGCACAATTTTAACGTGTTTTTAGATGGGGTTGTGGTCAAGAATAAGCTTTATTTGGCCTCTCTGGACTTCCATATATTTGCACTAAATTTAGTTGGGTCTATTTGCAGTCATCAGCCGACATTGAAGCCAAAAAAATCAGTAAAAAAAAAAAAAGCACTTCGCCGCACCACTTTTTGGGCAAGCTCCATACCAGAACCGCCTAAAGAAAGCTTATTAATTGAGCTTTCATATCCTAGATCCGGAAGCGCTACATATGCAGAAATCTTTTAAAATATGGGGCCCATTTGGGGTTTTTTTTCTTTTTTACTCATCCTACACATCTTATTTAATATGGAATGTGAACAAACAGTAACGTCTTCGCGTCAGCGTCTGCCGTAGTTGGAGTTGCATTCAAATGTCTCTCCAGTGGTCTTCCCCAACTCTCCCTTTGTAAACACTGAAAGGGTACTTGTGCGTGGACGTTGTGGAGTCATAAAATGGGGAAATGTCTTAAAAACAGGATTCATGAATACCTAAGACAGTTTACCCATTCCTATTGGTTGAGAGCCTGTCATGTGGCCGGTCTTTAAATGGACGATAAAGACATGGCTGGTGGTCTTAAACACTTTCCCAGTGTCACATGAAATTTGGACTCCTATGAAATCCAGTGCCTTTTATCGTTTTATTGTTGAACGTTCACAATCGTCACCTAGGCATGCGCAACACTACCAGTGAGTCAGTATTTCAAAGTCCTAATTCACAACGCACTCACCACAGCTGCATCTGCGCGTAATCGCGCAGTATGCGTGACGCGCATGCCAATCTCCAGAAAGGAGTTGTTTACGTCTTACTCGCGAGCTGGACACTCCATTATATAGCTAGAGGGGTGTTTCAAAAAACAGAATGTAAAATTGTTGAACAAATCGTGGCAAACTTTAATTTTGGACTTGTTTGACTTTTGACCGAAAAGTTTGATTTTTGACCGAAAAAGGTATTTATGAATGGAATAAATATGTGCTTGGTCGGTATTAAACACTATGTTAAGACTGGTTGGAGTCTGGAATGCTGATAATTACCAGAGGTGAAGCCAGTCTTAACTCTTTCAGTGCCCGCGACGTTTTCAAAAGTTTAACCTAAAGCGCCCAACTTCAAGCTTTCTTGTTAATTATTCAAAATTCTATAAAAAAAAAGTAAATAAGTTGTAATCACCAAACTTGTTGTATCTTGCTCTCTGTTATATTCTTGTTACCTTCAAAGTCAATATTAGTCATGTACCTAGTAATAAACCCTGAAACACTCTCCTGAACACAGGGGAATTTCGCACTTTTGCAGAATATACGTGTGTCGCGTCTGATACCCCTCCTCATACAAACTCTGTTCATTATCATAAATATTGCCATGATTGTCACTTTTAGCACCATCGTTATCATTTGTATCGGCATCCCAATGTTCGTCTTCTGACTCACCATCCAGTCTGAATATCCATGGATTATTCTGAATCAGAAAAGTAATCCCTTACCATGCTTACCCTGTCCAAATCGGCGAAAAAATACACTGATTTTCTCTGGAGATAACACGCGAGCTCGGTTTATGGGCACCGCCATTTTGTCAACAATCGAAACTCAGTGTGACCCTCTCACAAGAACTCGAATATAAAAATAAATACAGGACGTACAATGTACATGCATATAATTGGTACCATTAGAAAGAGCGAGAGCGCCCCCTTTTGATAACATGTTACTCTACCTCGTACATGTACGAGGTTTGGCGATTTTAAGCACGAACATTACCTCGTACATGAACGAGGTGGCGCTTTTGGACTAACAAAAATACTCGTACATGTACGGTTTGGCACTGAAAGAGTTAAGCGTAGTGTTTAACACCTTCCAAGCTCGCATTTATTCTTTTATTCAACTCTTAATTCTAAGCCTGCCTATTGCTTCCCAACAGGCCTACTTTGGTGGGTCGCACACTCGGATGTACATCTGCTGCAACATGGTTGGAGCCATATGCGTGACTGGGATGTCCAACTTGATACGAAGGACTGTGTTGGAAGAGGCTGGGGATTCACGGAACTAGGCAAATATATATCCGAGGACTTCTACATGGGAGTTGCTGCTGTCAGAAGGTAAAAGTCGACATGAACCCGTAAAACAATATTTTCAGGATCAATTCAGAATGGTGCTTTGCCCTCTTGTACTTTATCATACTTAACCAGTTCACGCCGGGATTACTTTGACGAGAACGGAATGAGGTGTGGATTTATTTTCACTCAAGCCAGGCGGAATGAGGCATCACCCTCGGGCAGCACACTCATATTTCCAGCCTCGCTCGCTGCGAGCGGGTTGCTGACAGATATTTCGGCCTCACTCCCTGCGTGTTTATCTGTCATCCGTTCCAAATACCCAAAACTTTTGCGTGTAAACACGGCCTCGTAGGTAACATAATCCAACTATCAGGCATGCAACTTTTCCTCGGATCAGCTGATTTCCTCTTTTTCACTTCCAATGTGTGCCATTGAAAATAGAAAAACACTGTACAAGTCTGGAAAGATTTGAATTTCCTCTTTTTTGGTGACTTCCCAGTTGCATGCCTGAACTATGGAACTCTCACAAAATCTTTGCTTGGGTGCAATATAAAAGGATCCAACTAATTTCCATTCTACATCTACTGCTGTTGGCATGGATTTTTCATGGAGAATCTTCAGTTGACGCTACTGGAGTTGTACTCAACTTGAGACATTGTGACTAATGCTTTTTTCAATGCTTGAGATTCGTCTCGGCCATCCAGCCCGATCCTGGGCAAGGGCGGATCCAGGGGGGGCCAAAGGGGCCATGGCCCCCCCAAAACGAAACCATTTTTTTTTTTTTTTATGTGACATCGCAATAAAGGCAGGCAATGAGTACACCACCATCTTTTCTCAAAAAAACATTGGTTAAAGTGGTCAGAAGTTGCCTCAGATCGCACCACAGAGCATCTAGAATCCAAAATTTTTGCGGGGCCCTTAAGCGGGCCCCAAACCCCACGCCGTAATTTTTTTTGACCACTTTTTGGAGTCCAAATTTTTTTTTGGCCCCCCGAAAATTTTGTTCTGGATCCGCCCTTGATCCTGGGCAGCACAAACAGCCTGATTGTGTTAAAAGCCGATGGCGTTAAGGCGGCCTATGATCTGTGTTGAAGATCAATTCAATTACAAGCATTGATGAATGAGCTTGTGTACTTTTCCCTATATTCACAGTGGTCTTTCTACCAGAATAAGTAGCTTTCCGCGATGCAGAATTCAGCAAACACATCGCTGGAGTCCTTTGCTAAACGCATGGTCAGGTAGGACGAACATGCTTCATTTCACCTCAATAAAATAGGTCATTTCAAAGGATGATACAAGCGATGTGAGTTCGTAACAGTTAAAACAGTCACTTGATTGATTTGACTGCTGTTATGGTTTAGCTGAATTTGCCAGCCAGACTTTTTTTTTTTTTTTAATATACGATAATTCAAATTTGAGTTTTAACCTCATTTTTATGATAAGAAAATTGATTTCCAATTCCATTGATTAAGATGGACGACGGTCCGCACCTCGTCCGTTCCTTCCATTCTCGTACTGGAGCCGTTCTCCGAGTCAATCCTGTGCGGGCTTTGCTGTACGTTGGCGTCTATTACCTATTTCACTGGATCCTATTGTCTTCTTCATGGTGCACATGCTGCAGTGGTTTCTACTCGATTATGTACAGCTGCGTACTATGCAGGTGAGAAAACGTACATTCTTGGACTGAGATTAAATTTACTTCATCCCTCATACATATTTATGAGCCAAAGTGCTTCTTTCATTGGTCGATGTTCCGACGCATCAGGAAGTAAAGCTATCCATGATGCGTAGAAATGTGAGTTCCCCCCCCCCCCCCCCCCCCCCCCCCCCCGGGTTCTTTCAGAAACTCATAAACTCATAAAAGAGATTTGCCACATGGTGCTACCAAAATTCTTTATCCTAACCAAACCACCCCAACTCCATCAAAATCCCCCCCTCCCCCCCCCCCCCCCATTTGGTGGATTTTGGGGGACATGGTCCAGAAGGCCTAACGTGACTAAATATTGATGGAGTATGATGGACTTAGGCCTAATGGCCTGAAGCAGTGCTAGGGGTACGGATTGATTTTGCCTAGCTTCCTGTACTGCTATTATGATAAAAGCCATGTGTAGCAAGTCCATGAATGTCAACAGTGCGTCAGAAATGTTGAGTTTGCTCCCAAGGGGTTAGGGTATACTCTGTGCCTTTAGGCCTACATGCGTACATGCAGTAGAAGATTGTGCAGTGAAATTACCTTCAGACTTTCCCAAGTTTTATTTCTCTGGTTATTAAAAGCCGTTTCACATATGCAAAACACGAATGTGTGATGCCACTGCAAGCGATTCACTTGTGCCTGCCCCAGTTCAACACATGTTGAGTCTGGCGAATTTCAATGTCCCATACCCTTTGCATTCACACGAACAAGCCTTCAGACCGCCGTTCGGTGATTTTGATCAATTTATTTTGACAGGTGGAACCACTTAACTGCTCCAAATTCGACTACATGGTCGCCTGGGTCTACCGGGAATGCTCCACACCGTATTACTTCCTGAGAGGATGCCTAGGCAACAGGTCAAGTGGCGGACGGGAACGTCGTGTCAAGTGGGGCGGCTATCTCGAAGAGGTTCATTGACCCGGCTCATGTTGTAAGCACGTATCTAGGTACCATTTCACAAGCTTTAGTTCCGTCTCAACTATGGCCAAGTTCGGGCAAGGACCATTAGTCGACTAGTGGTTGATTTGTGACGTAACTTACGCCTGCGCACTAATAGCAACGTGCGAACGTCTCTAGTCAAACGCTGGTCAAAATGTCATGGCAAAACTCTGGATCCTGGCTCCCTGCTGTATGTTATGAATGCGCGCGGCTATAGGTTACCAGGGATGCAACCAGCCCAGTAGGTTGTTCCAAATAGTCGACTAGCGTAGTCAACCACCGTCGACTAGACAGAGTTCGAGCCAACTTTAGTTGAACTTTGGTTAACCAATGGTCAGCAATAGTTCTTGCGCAAACTTGCCCTTGATTGTTGGAGTTTATTCCATTAGTCCCTGTACTGCCCAAACCAGCCCAAATCGCCCTGCCTGTTACTTCCTATAGTGCCCTCTATGGTTTTAGGGAGTCATCAGTGAATAAACCCAATGTAATTAGTGTAAGGGTTAATGGGTTAACCATGTGGTCAATGCCGATAACTTGACGTAACCGTTTCACAATTTCTGGTCAAATGCTGGATGTGTGACATCTTGGGGTGCGTTCCACTTAACGTAATTATTGTTAACGTTTATCAACGATGGCAACATCACGCAACATTCTTGATTGCTATACCTCATATTATATTATGGTGGCATGGGTGGCTTGTGCGTAAAGCGCTCGCCTCTCACCAATGTGTCCAGGTTTCAAATCCTTGCTGCGGATCACATGTGAGTAGAGTTGTGCGTTGGTTCTCTCCGTGCCACGAGGGTTTTTCTCCGGGCCCTCCGGTTTTCCTCCCTTCGGAAAATCAAACACTTTCGATCTCAGGCTGTGCTCCCTGGTCATATATGGGTCGATGTGGCCGGCAGCCTTAGGCGCCTTTACGTGCCAGCGGCCGACCACGTTGTAGCCGCGTCCTTCGCAATTCAGCATACCAGCTGCGAGTAAGGATGATTAGCCTCCCAAATTATTATCATTATTATTATTATGTTCCTGATCGAGAGCCAATTCTCACTGGTCCATTCCCCATCATGTGCCAGATGCTATTCTCGCTGTCTACCTGTTTGAAGGGGACATATTTAGCCGTGAATCCTAAATCCTAAATTGCTACTCACGAGTGCTTGCTTCTGCTCGTGCCAGGACGAGTACTCCAGTAAATGATAAACCACGAGTAGAATATACTACTCACAAGTAACCGAGTTTACTGGCCCAGCGTATTGCTGTCGGTGAACAGCGTTTCAGATATTGAACTTCTACGAAAATCAAAATGCAGTTTTAAAACAAACAACAAAAACAATTCATGATGAATCATTTGTTCCTGGTTCTAGCAGGCTACATGTATGTTCTCCTAGTGATATCTTGCAAGTTGTGACGGTGTAATCGTGTGCAGGAGCTTGTAACTCTTCCTGTATGGTGTGATGTAGAGGACAAATGTGACCGGCTCTACAAAAAAGGGTATTAAATCGCGCTGAGCATTATTGTGTAATGGCCCGCTCACATTGAGAGGGTGAAAATTTTGTCAAAATGTGATTTTCATTTTTTATCATGAATGACATCTTAATACCTTCAGTTTCAGGTTTCATTCACAGAAATGTTGATTTTGATGAACAAAGTGGGGGAAAAAAACAATTTTGTGTGCATCGTTTTGTTGTTCTACATCAAAGCCAGCTACACGTATTTCAAAGCCTGTTTCTCAGTTGTGTAATTTGAACTCCAAGGGAGTAATTACATGTAATATGCAATACCTCACATCTCCAGAACGGGAGGGGCTTTGGAGCTCTATTATATACCAAATGAAAGCTTACATTGTGGGCTTTCCAACCATGTACATGTTGTATATAACTCAATTTCACTTTTTGCGACATAATACCTTCTTATTGTGGAGCCGGTCACAAGTGTGAATGTAACGTTTAATTCCAAAGTGCAGTGTACAGATAAAATATTCCATGATCTCAACATAATTAAAGAGGGGTAGCTTTCTGGTTTACTGCATGTACAATGTAGGATTTTTATGGTAGATCTAGCAGAGGCAGCTCACGAAGTGAATTTGGATCTTTATTCCTCAAACAATATTAGGCCTGGCCCGTACTTCACGCAAATGTGAATATGATGCCAATTTGACATGAAACGCTTGCTGCAAAATTCGCTGCAAAATTGACATGTGTTCAACTTTTGCAAATTGGGTGCTCGAAAACTTGCCGTGACCTCACAAATTTATCATTTCACAGGTTTTTTTTATACCAATCTTATCACTTTTAGCAAGCTTTCTGTCATTAAATTGATGAGTACTTTTCTGGGTTTAAATTGCAATGATCCTACCGTTACATGGCTGTTAATCATGCTGAATGCGCCTTTGAGCTTCCGTTTGGTGTTGAATTTCTCAAATTCAGGAAGGTCCTATGAAAAATGCCCATTGCATGTGCTTGACTTCATCGTTTGGCAAGTTTTTTAGTCGAACGCAAGCCTGATCATTATTTGGCAAAATTAGTGCATGATATTTGTTCTTGTACATGGGTAAAGATACTGGTACTACCTCGAAATTTATAAATTTACTTGTATTGAGTAAGATTTTATTGAAGACATGTACATGTAGACTTGTATAATTTTTTCTAATACATGAGCTCACTATATATCGCACATTACATTCACTTTGTTTTGAGTGCTGGAAAACGGGTACAAGTTTTTGATGGAATGCAGTTACTGAGTGTAGGATTAGAGATGGAACGATATATTGTGTGTAGAGTTCGTTATGTTGTTTAGGAACATTCAAAGGGATGTCGTCGTCTGTGGTTAAAAGTCAACCATATCAGGATACCACATTTGAACATCTCGCATCTAAATTAGTGTAGATTGTTCGTAACTTCATTTATGGAAACAGTTACTCAATAACTTCCTTTTCTGTTTTCCGTTGGGCAGTTAAGTTACATGTAGAGGGTGAGTAAAAAAAAAAAACCCCAAATGTCGGGACTATTGTTTTATTGAAGTTCTGCATGTAGCACTTTCAAAATCTAGTATATGAAAGCCCAATTCATCGGCTTTCTTTTAGTACAAGAATCATTCAAATCACTCATGTACTTTTCAAGTTACGGAATTTTAAACACACCACCATTTTAAAGTTCTGTCCACAGATCACCAAAAAGGTGTGCGTTCTTTCAGCAAACAAAAACAATTCACACACATCCCTATGTGATTTGTTTTCGTTTTGCTGAAAGAACACTGACTTTTTTGCGATCCGTGGACAGAACCTTAAAACGGCGGTTGTGTTTAAAATTCCGTAACTTGAAAAGTACATGAGTGATTTGATTGATTCTTGTTCTAAAAGAAAGCTTATAAATGGGTTTCATATCCTAGATTTTGCAGGCTACATGCAGAACTTCTCTAAAACAATGGTCTCAACAGTTTTTCTTTACTCACCCTTATTACATTCGACAAATTTACTGTGATTTGGCCATATTCACATCCAGTCCTCCAGCTGGTTTTAAACGTACTTGTTTAAAACCGGCCAAGCACATATTGATTCCCTTGTTTAACTTCGTCACTTTGAAAGCCGCTTGAGGAATCTTATGTTGTGGAGAAATTGATCAATGGAAGATGACTTGTTATATATCGGTTTAATTAATTGAAGTATGTTTGCAGTAACGGTGTGCACATATTTAGGTCAGTTTAATTGCGTTAACAACTCTAACAAGGTATATGGGTAGGTTATGTGCAGTACTAATAGATTTAATATATACTGTGTAATATTTTTTTTTTTGCTGAAAAGGAGGACTTTTGGTATTGAATTCATGAAGAGGCTTTTCATTTTATTTGTAAAGTTGTTTTTTTGCATAATATGTAAGGTATTTTTAATGTTTTATTTTAGGATATAGCATACAGTTATTACTTGAATGATTTTGGAATATGTACATATGCCTATGTACATGTACACTTACATAAGTATGTACATGTAATTAACGGTGTGGGTAAACTGCACAAGTCACATGAAGTCCCCTCTCAGCTTAACAGACTGTAATATGTCTCATACAACTTACCGTAACATGGTGCTTAACCCTAACAGAACTCAACCCATCAAACCCCAACAGCATGTTTTTGTTGGAATCTGTCTGGATGGGTACAGTACCCCTAAAACTGACAGTTTTTACATTGGGTTGGCACACCTCCAGAATCAAAAGTCAGAAATGTGGGTGTGCAGTTCCCATACGGTGTTGGAATTTGCCAGGATTGGTATGGTTCCTAGTAAATCATGCTAGGGAGTTAGGGTTTGTCAATGCTTTGGATTGTATTATATTGACGCCAGAAACATGAGAAACATCTTCTCTGTCCAGTTTGCAATAAAGGGTGCTTCCTGATCTTAATTTGTAGTTCCATAGCCCGCAAAAACAGTGCATGTTACGCAAACATGTACAGTTTAGAGTGGTTTTAGTTATATCCTGTGAATCAGGAGAATATACCAAGTACAAGGTACAATATCATACAGACCGATCCGGGCACGCCCTCAGTTCTATCATGGAGGCCCCTTCAATGGCAGTAGCATATTGTGCTAGCTATTGTTCAGAATCAGATAACCCGTCACTGGGCAGTTGCTTTGTACAATAGCGTGCACAATGGCTTCGCCATTTGAGGGACGCATCATGAGTACAGTGATCAGAATCGTGAGTAAATTCCGAGATGTGAATGGATTGGAATTTGTAATGATTGTTTCACGGGTCAGTGTTTACAATTTCAAAAACGACTTTCTGGCGTTATTCGCAGTTTGTCAGCTATCCATTTTTCAACCAGTTTACCGTGAGACGGTTCTCGATAAAGATGTTATCCAACAACAGATCTCAGCCTGACAAGAATTTGAATTTTTTGAAATGATGGCCTGACATTACAAAAAGTGGCGTTTAAGGAATACACGCAGTGTTATTCTGCCATTCATTCATTCATTATCACTTTGGTTAGAA